CCCCACCCCCGCCTTTGTGTTTTTTTTTTTTTTTTTTTTTAGGTTTATTTATAGACATCTAAGACATTTTCAGGCATAACTCTCTGTGTCCCAGGTACAGTATTAATATAGTCATCAGAGGATTTATTTTTTAATGTCTTTTTGGAATGGTAGAGCAATGAGCTCACCTGAAAGAAAACCTATTGGGTAACTTTTTGAAATGGATCCCAGCCTTAGGTAAAAGGAATGTATTAAAATCCCCATTATACTCTGGGGCTTGCTGGGAGAGCTTGCATTTAAGCCCCATGAAATATAATGCAAGGGGTTCTCGCCAGGATATTGAAGCTCAGAGGCCAGGAATGAAAGGCCGATGGGAAGCCGTGGAATGAAGTGACCTTGAGGCTTTGTAGCTGAGGACTGAGGTGCAGTCTTTTAATGCCTGCCATTTTAATGGCCTCAGTCATAGCAACCAAGAGATGGTACACCACAGGCTGATATTTCAGCCCCTTTCCACTGGAAAAGAAAGAGGCATTCCATTTAGAGGTGGCAGCAGTAGGGAACAGAAGTGCAGTGCAGGGGAGAAGGTTGCAGACCTTCACTAATGGGACTCCCAGGTGCCTGACATTCAGGTCAAGCCACATGCAGCAAACTCCCAGAGAGCCTGTCCCTAGATCTTTTGTGTCTGTGTGTGATCACTTCATTCTGTTATTTACAGAGGAAATGTTTCCGGTAAGAGAGCCTGTGTCCAGGATTTGGAAGTCTTGTTGTTAAGTGGAATGTTGGTTGTCAAGACTACTGGGTGTAAAGGGATTTGACCTTCACTTGGTTCCAGGGGTATAATTGGGTGGTTTCACACAAAAGTAAATTGTTCAAATGTAAAATCAGGAGAAACAGGAACTTTTAGAAATAAGACCTATGTAGGGAGTAATGGATTTTTATTTGGGGGTGGGGAATGTTATATTAGGGCTACCAGATTTTTTCTCCTGGAAAGTATAAAAGGGGGAGACTGTCACCTCTCTGCTGTGGCATGTGTAAGATTTTGGATTTACAAGGCCTGCTGTGTTAAGACTGCTTATTGTGGTCCATGTTGGGAATGTGCTCAGTGCTCAGGGTGTCTCAGGCATGAGTAATTGAGAGGAGAGGGGAAAGCACAATCTGGTCTCTGAACAATAGTGTCCCATACACTACCTCTGTAGTTCATTTCTGCAGTGCAACTTTTTGACTGCAGCAGAAAATAATGCATTTATAGATTACAAATTCAGTAGTGTGGGTAATCCTGCAATTCCACTCGAAAAACATGTGTCCATGGAACAAATAGGAGATGGAGCATGCCTATGATATTTCCTCTGTCAAGTTCAGTTGCTGCATGCCCCTAATTGTATAGGCATCTCATTCCAGTGGTTCTATAATAATAATTTTATTCTATGAAATTACATTATGTGCATGTGTGTATATAGATTTTACAGATACATATTCAGTTTATTACATACCATACATTACTATGCTTAGGATAAATAGTACACACATATTATTCTACAAATTTGAACCTATGTATATGTGCTATATAAATAATGTATATTATGGACAATGCAGTGAATTTCCAAAGGATAATTGACATTTACAATAGTTGCTCATATGCTACCATCAGAGATGCACTCCTATTTAAGATAATTTTCCAGGACCAGCAGGTAGCTTAGGGATTAAGGCACTGAACTTCCACATGGGTCAACTGCAGTTTGAGGCCCAGACATGGCAGCTTGCTTTCTCACTCTCCCTCTCTCTCTCTGGTGAGCACATGTGCCCTATGGCACATTAAAATAATGATAATAATAAATAAAATAAAATAAATAATTAAACAAAGATACTACACCTCTCTGTCACAATTTTCATGGTTGAAGAGAAATATTGTGTATGTACTTCACAGAGTTGTTATAAAGACTAAATAATATCTTTCATGTGAATATACTAATATAGAGCCTAGCACACTATTATTGTTGAATATATCTTAACTGTGGTTGTCACAAAAGAATCTTAGCTTTGCTAGTATCTCTGTTGACCATTTGCGTTAAGTAGTAATAAAGGAATACAACCAAAAACACTTATTATCCATTGACATTTCCTCTGTTTTTAAATACAATTATTATAGTTTACTGTGGACTGCAACATTTTCTCTTTACTTTTCAGTCAGGTTGTCTTATCTCCTCTTGGAATTTTGGGCATGCAAGCACACATGCCTGGCTTGTTTTTCAAGCCACTAGGTCCAGGACTCCAACCTCACAGTTGGCCATATGTCAGACCTAGTACCTTAACTACCATGTAGTCTGCTGGCTCCATAGTGGTGGTTTTTATTTTTTATTTATTTATTTTTTTATGAGTAACAAAAATGATGTATTCCCAGTCCCAAATTAAAACTGGTAAGCTTATAATTGGCCAACCTAGGTAACCCAGGTGGCTGACATTCAGGTCAAGCCACATGCTTGACATACTCTTAAGTCTTTCAAAAACAAATACTTAACATGTTTATTAGCTCTAGATAGAGAAGGTGCCAGATGAATACAGGCCTACCATATCATAAATAGGAGGTGAAGTCAGCCTGCTTGCTAAAGTCATTAATGTTTAGCTCTAGCCTGCCATCTTAAAATTTAGATATGGCTCCTAGAGACAATTTGTATAACCCAGCCTCATTAAGTTGTCACAAGAACATTCATCCGGTACTTTGTTTTATTCCCATTCAAAGTTTACTATAGCAAGCGTAAGTGGCCAAAATCGTTTCATTGATCTCAAAGCTGGTGCAAATTATTAAGTCACCCAGCTCAACTGTTCTGTTGACAGTTCTTAGTGTAATCCGTATGTCATCAAGCAACCCTTAAAACAATTGCCAAGTCATTAACCCAGACAAAAGCAGCTTCAAAACATCTCTCGGAGAATTACAAAGCATACACAAGCTTCCAAATTACTTTTGTGAGTGCCTTATCTAGACTGACATACAGATAACTAAGATTTATTGAGTGCTGGCTGTGTGCAGGCCAGTTTTCCAGAAATATTTTTACTTAAATTAAAAAAACTACATTCATTCATCTATCTATCTATCTATATATCATCTATCTTATCTATCTACCTACCTACCGACCTATATCTATCTATCTATCTATCTATCTATCTATCTATCTATCTATCTATCTACCTATTGTAGGTTTTGGGTCCACAGGTCCAGGACTCAAACTGCAGTCAGCCATGTAGAACTTCAGTGCCTCAACCACCACACCACCTGCTGGCCCTTTACTTGATTCTTTTTTGCAAGTTTTTATTTTACAGTTATGAATGCTAATGTTCAGAGTCTTCATTCTACTTTTCTTACATGAAATAGAGTGTGTGGTAGAGCCTAGAGTAGAATTAAACTACGTTCATTGAACACCAGGGGTGCACCAGGCACTGAAGGGAAGGCAGTAAGTAAAACAAAACTGATCTCAGCCTGCAGGGACTTTGCCAGAAAGACTGACAGCAGAGGAAGAATGAACAATATAGATAAGCATTAAGTTAAACTCGATTTCTTTAACTTAGGGATAATAATGTATTGCTGTTTTTAGGAGGCAACAGTCCCCAGGTAATGCTAATGCATGAGTGAGATCAAACCACTGACTTTCTGCTTGACATGTCATAAGCCCTCAGTCACTGGTATGATTCAGATTAAAAGATGGTGTCTTATGCCCTTCACTTTTTGCATAGGAGGAGGAGAACTGATTTTCATGTTAGTTGGTTCCTATGTTGGTGTGATGTTTTTTCTCTAGTCTAATTGAATGTCATTGTCCTTTTCCCATAGGTGACTGAAGGCCATTGGAAATGGGGTGATGTCACTGTCCAAGTCAACAGCGCCTTCTTCACAGGCATCTATGGGATGTGGAACCTATATGTCTTTGCTTTGATGTTCTTGTATGCACCATCCCATAAGAACTACGGAGAAGACCAGTCCAATGGTGAGTTCTGATATCTTTAGCATGATTTACTTCAGGATAAGGAGGCTTTTGTCTCTATCAGGTTTAAATGACTAAAGCTCTGGGTTTACCATCAAACTTTCTAGGGAACAGTGAATGGGCAGCCCAAGGGACTCTAGAATCATAAGACAAAAAGCCAACACATGCCAGATATCTTTTTAAGTCTTCTTTTCTGTCCTTGCACCATTATGAAAGAGGACAAGGGAGAGAGACAAAGATCCTGCCTGAGCCTCCCAATTAGCCAGGTCTACAGTCAAGTGCATTGATGCCTGACATGTCCAGGTTGGCCTAGGAACTGAACCCAGGCCTCCCATGCAGTTTCCAGCCTCCCAATCAGTGGTGCTACCTGTGCACCAAAATTCTTTGGGAATGTTGTATTCTAGTCTAAAATATGCCCTGATTCTAACACAAAAACAAAACTTTCTTTCTTGTTTTTTTTTTTTTGAGTAAAGCTGACTATAGAAATTACCTCTCATTATTCTTCCAGTTTGAGAAGCAAATTCCTAAGACAACACATGAAAGAGACTGGGCCCTGAGAGTTGAAGAAGGAATGGACTTATTTTTTGTTGTTCATTTCTTTGCATTGTTGCTTTTGGCATACATCCAAACCAATAGTTATTCTCTGGTCCTCAGCATCTTCCTGTTCCTCAGTGCCTGTATGTGCTGTCTTTTCCTATTATAGAAACGTTGACATTTTAAGGAACCTTGGAGAATTTGACCAGTCTGATCATTTTATAGATAAGGAGACTAAAGTCTAGAGAAGAAAAGAGCTTGCCTGGGGTTTCCATGAGAAAGAGAGAGAGAGACAAATAAGAGAGACAGGCATCCCCAACAGGGTCTAAATGCCACAATCCACCCCCAGTAAGAACTGGCCCAGATCACAGCATGCACACATGTGCCTGGTGTGCCTACAATCTGGGCCAGCTCAGGGCCCTTTCCACTTGGGTCTAGTTGCACTTGCACTGTGCCACCACCTGGCCTCAAGGATGAGAAATTTAATGCATTAGAAAGAAGAGTTCTAAGGTTAGCTTTCCTATTGCACAGACATGACACTGATCTTGAGAGAGGAAAATAAAGGGAGAAACGGGTAATGAGATGAATGATAAAGAAAAGAGGTGCAGGGAGAGGTCATCTGTGTTGAGTGTCAGGGTGGTGTGAGTGGAGTGAGCTCAACCACATCCATCTTCACAGTATACTTGCCACTTCAACACCAGAGAATCCTGTGCATGAACCCTCTCTTTCCTCCTTCCCTTGAGCTGTTTAGAGCAAGACTTCTTGGCACAATCAATTTCAGATCCATCCCTGCCCGTGGATCCTGCATAAGAATAAAGACTTTTGGCATCCCTATCCCCTGTCTTGCTCTGGTTTGACTGGCTTTTCCTAGAAGCTTGTCAGCAAGCCGCCTTTCCACTGCTATCACTCAGGGATTTACTGTATTCATGCAAAATGGCAACTGAAAGCCTCCCCAAGAGCAAACCTCCACAATACAGGCAGGAAGGGATTCTGGGCTTGTGGACAAGAATCTTGATTTCGATTCATGGACACCCCAATGGACTTTGACAGAAACCATGCGGCCCTATCTTTGACTTAAGTAGATGGTTTCTACTTTTGAGGGAAAGCACCAGGTAAAGCAATTGCTGGACTTCCTGGGGTATCGGAGTGGTAGTACTAATGGGCAGTAGTTCTGGAATACAGACTGTGTGCTACGTTACCCACATAAACTGGTCTGGTGTTTTGTTTGTTTGTTTGTTTGTTTGTTTTTGTATGTGAAGGTTGGCACACTGCTTCACCCTTGGCATACCACTTCTCACAGAGGAAGTGATCCCTTAAAGTCTTTTTACAGTAAATGAAAGTCTATGGTTGCCTTTCTTCCTGTTGGCAAGGAAAAGGCCCTAGAGCACCTCCTGTCACTAAGTGGCAGTTCAGGGGTTTTCCAAACCCTGGGGAGCTCCACTCTAGTACTGCTGGGCAAGTGGGAGCCCAGGACTACAGTCAGCCCTACAGATAGGGTGACCATGTACCACCATGTTGACCAGATCCTGGAGCTGTCAGCCAGGAGTCGGGCAGTTCCCGTCACCTGGACAACAGCCACTCATTTAGGCTTGAAGCCTTGTAATCAAGAATCAAAGCTTGATCTCTCCCCCATCAGAAATTGTTGAAGACAGCTTGATGTATAATTTCACAGAAAGCTCAAAAACTAGTTGACGATAGGAAATCACATTCCCTGAATCCTTTGCTAAGGGAGACCTGGATTATTTATGGTTGTATTTTGGATTGTCACTGTGACTGGGACATGCCACTGGCACTTAGTGTTCAGATTCCAGAGATACTATTAAATGTTCTACAGTGAACAGAATAGTCCCTTGCAGTGAAAACAGTCTTGATAAATATTTTTTATTCAGTACACAGATTCTTCTGGGACCCTATGCCAATTGAAAACACAGAAGTCATATGAATTTTTTAAAAGTTTTTTAGAAATATTTTTCATTTGAGGGGCCAGCAAGTGGCAAGGTTGTTAAGGTGCTGGACACTCCCACATGGCTGACCACAGTTCGAGACCCTGGACCTGGTGGTTTGCCTCACTTTCCCTCTCTCTCTCTCTGTGTCTCTTTCTGGTCAAATTAAAATAAATGAATGAATGAGTGAATGAAAAATTTTCTTTTTCATTTGAGACAGAGAAAATAAAGTGGGGAGAGAGACAAGCACCTTTAACAAGGTCCTTATGCTGTAGTCTAGCCCAACCTCAACAGCCAGGATCACAGCCACAGGCACACATGGTGTATACAGGAGACCTTGGGACGTAATCCTGAGACCTTTTCAGATGGCTTCAACATCGTTGAGTGTGGTATTGCCTCTACACCATCATAATTGGCTCAGAAAGCCATAAGGTTAAGCATCCTCTGATTGTGACATGATTAGCTGCAACTTCACAGTAGCCCCATGCACCCCCAGAAACACATGCGTTCTTTACTTTCCTGGGTTATCATGACCTTGTGTATTTGGGAGGGACTACTTCCATGTTGTGCCCTCTGATCATTTTCTTCCTCTGCTCTCTTTCTCTTCTTATGTCTTCATCTGCCACCAGACCAATAATATATCCTAGGAATAGTGGTACATTTGCCAAGATTTCTAGGCACCTTAGAAATTATATATATATGTATATATATACACACACACATATACATACATATAATTTAATATATGTGTGTATACATGGGTATACATATATGTATGCATATACATATTTTTAAGAGAGATTTTTGCTATAAGTCGTGTGCATTTGCTGAAAGACAGAGATAGAAAGTAAAAAATCACCCCCTGGGGGAATGACCATACTGCAATCCTTTCTCTTTCGTTCTCCTCTCGGGATTTTGGTCACATGCACATGCACCCACTATGAATTTTAAACCACCAGGTCTGGGACTTGAACCATGGTCAACTACGTGGGAGTCCAGCGATGTAACCATTACACCATTTGCTGATCCCTCGAAATTTTGTATTTGAAATATTCCATTGGAACCTACACAATGAATTCTTGAGTACACACTGTGTTGTCAGTCCTCTGGGTGTGCATGACATTCCTTCTCCACCCCCAGTCTTTCCCTGTTCCTTTCTCATGGAAAGTTTTATTTTTATTGAATAAGTTGGCTTGGGCTTTTCCCCCCCTTGCTTGATCTAGAGCCAGGAATTCAGGTTGCTTGCTGTGGAGAATGGATCCCAGGTGTGTGGTGCTTAATGAACTGGAACCTGAATGGGCCATTTTCAGGAAATGGACAGGCATTTTTCTGATGCCAAAGTGGAGAAGAAAAGGGAAGACCCTGTGAGAGGGTTGTTATGTCTGGGCAGTGGAGAAAGATGCCTTGAGGTGTCAGGAGGAGTGGGTCGAAGGAAGTGGAAGCTTCGAGCATAGATTCTGCATTTTCCTTTTTTTTTTTTTTTTTTTGAGAGATTTTCACTGTAGGGCACGTGCGCTCGCCAGACAGACAGAGAGAGACATAGAGACAGAAAGCAAGAAATCACCCCCCAGGGGGGATGGTCACGCCGCAATCCCTTCTCCTCCATTCTCCTCTCGGGATCTTGGGCACGCACGCACACGCGCCCGGCGTGAGTTTTAAGCCACCGGGTCCGGGACATGAACCGCGGTCGACTACGTGGGAGTCCAGCGACATAGCCATTACGCCAACTGCTGGTTCCCTGCATTTTCCTTTTAATCAGAACCAACAGGAAAGAACAAAGTGGGGAGCGGGTTCAGTAGAAGGTCATTTTCCAAAGAGTGTTTTCATTCATGTATTTGTTTCTTTTTCATTGTATGAATCAGAAAGTGACCGTTTACAAATGAACTGTGGACACTTCAGTACTTAGCACTGTGCCAGGTGGAATGAGATGGAGTGAGGTGAAGTTCTGAAGAGTAACAGACATAGTCCTTGCTATCAAAGAGCTGTTAGCTTGGTCTTAGGGACAAGATTTCCTCATCTGCCTCCTCGAACACAGTATGGCAGGATGGCTTCTAGCCCGGCGTTCTCACAGCTGACGGGGCTGTGGAGTGTGGCTGCTGCCTGCCTTCCCGTCTGTTGATTTACCGTAGCTCCCGTGGCGGTGCTCACACGTTCATATTAGTCATTTTACACACATGTGTGCATGTATTTAAAAGGTTCATGGGAAATGTGTATTATGAACGGACTATGCACGGATTGCAAAATGTTTTGTGCCAAGATAACACTTGTACTTTAATTCCATTTTCCACAAATTCTTTGAGTCATTTCATGTGTGCGTATTGTGTGTGTGTGTATGTGTGCCATATTTTTAAATTTAGCACCTACATTTTTGTCCTCTTTCCTTCAGGGAGCATTTTCTGCTCTGCTGCTACTGCCTTTCATTCAAGTGGTTCTCTTTACCTGTTACCGTAACCACTTTGCGAACCATTCTGGACGCCTTCCCAGGTAGAAATGAACTGCAGCAGGCTATGTCAACCCTTTCCTTAG